AAAAAAAAAACCCTGTCTAAAAAAAACAAAAAAAAAAAAAAAAAAAAAAAAAAAAAATTTATCATTTCCAAGTATGTATATATGGGGGAGTTGTAGACACATGAGTACAGGTGCCACGGAGCCCAGAGGTGTTGGATCCTCTGGAGCAGGAGTTACAGGTGACTGGGAACTACTTAACATGGATGCTACATCTTCCCATTTTCCCCTCTCTTTATCAGGTGTGGTCTACAGCCAGCAAACTCCTGAGAGACAGTGACTGTGGCAGCTCTGGGCCCTGCGACTTCCTCTCACAAGTTTACCAAAGATGACACGTGAGGCACTGCCCTCAGCTCGCAGCCTCCCTTTGCCTATGCCCAGGGGTTCTTCTTCAGCTAGCAGCACCATGGGGTGTGAGCCCAGCTTCCCTCTCATGGCTATTGAGTGGGAGAATGTGTTTTTCTTTCTCCATCATTTTCCTCTCCATTTTTTGATGTTACAGTCTTTCTGACTTCTTTTAGTAGTTGCCCAGAAATTTTCAAAGTTTTAATTAATTTGTGTGTGCATATACCATAGCATGCGTGTGACAACTTGCAGGAGTCTGGTCTCTCCTTCCATCCACTGTGGGAGTCCCGGGGATCAAACTTGGGTCATTAGGCTTGGCTGCAGGCACCTTTACCTGCTGAGCCATTTCACCAGCCCTTTTTTCCACCATATCCCCAACTGTTTTCCAGGACTACTGTAATTTGACCAGCCAAGGGAGGGGCCTACAGCATCCAGCAATGTCATGAAGTGGGGTTTACAAACACAGCAGTTTCCCAATTAATGTCCCACCTTCACTCACTCCTGTCCTGACACCACAGTAGAATCTGAAGCAGAAGGTTCCAAAGACTCCAAGCCCAGAGCCTTTGTGTGTATACCTTCCTCACAAGTTTTGGAATTACCCTGTGGATTTGAGGTGGCTGAAGAGATGACGAAGTGCCTAAGAGCACAGTCTGCTCTTCCAGAGTACCCAGGTTTGATTCCTAGCACCAACATGGCGGCTCACAACCATCTGTAACTCCAGTTCT